AGAGAAACCTGCTGCTTAGGGGTATGTTTAGTTTGAGTGCTGTTGAGAGTAGAGTGGCAGTGGGCAGAAGGTTTACACTGGAGAGCCATTCTCATAGAGAGGGCAGTTTAAGCGCTGGTTGTGAGGGACCAGCACAAGCCCTAACCACCATTGGGAAACCCAGTGTTAGACACCTATCAGCTTGTACATCAGAATGACTGTTGCTGATTCGTTTTTCCTGCTCTCTCTCTCTGCCAGTTCTAATCCTTCATTTCCTGTCAGATCTCTGCTTGAGCATGTGCCCTGTGTCCCTACAAACACACTATCCTCTTTCTTTCCCAACATGCCCTGTCCCCAGCCCCAGCTACATTTCTCTGACAGAGCAGGGAACAAAGATGTGTACCTGGGTCCATGAATAGCCTACTTCTGGCAGGCCTTTGGTCTGGTCCCCTTTAGTTTTAAATCTCTACAAAAAGTAACTTCTGGTCCTAATGGAAACTGTACATTACAGAGGGCTTTTTCCTGGTGGCTTTCAAGCGCAGCTCTGCTATCAGGGTGAACCACCTGGATATTATGGGGAGGAAATGTGCATTCAGTGAGGCCCCTGAGAGGTTCCGTGCACAGTAGGCGTCCTGCCAGCAGGCTGAATCGAGAGGTTCACTCACGGTTCAGAAGGCCCCTTCTGCACATGTGGCTGCTCCATCTCCCTCAGTGTCTGGCCCTGCGTTGCTGGCAACAGCTGGGTTTGAAGAGTCTAGAACGCCATGCCACATATCCTCCTATAACTGAGGAGCTCTTCCCTTCTGTCAGGTGCATCGTCCTGCTTTTCTCCCTTTACATTGTGGGTCACTGGGACAAGGTGAACTGATTTGGGGGGAGTCACCCCCACCCTCCCCAACTTTTCCACTCTTGGAAGCTTCTTTGATAGTGCTATGAATTTGTACAATAAACCCTTCTGCATCTCTGGTTAGTCTCTCACCAGAATCATTTCTTCCTTTTGGGTTTGATGAATGGATCAAATGACCTTTGTGGGTCGTTGATTCACCTCTACAGACGTGTCTTCCCACCTATAGTCTGTCCATCCTCTCCTTGGCTTGTTTATGTGGTTCTGTTTTTATATCTTGTCATTCTGTTAATAGAACTTTGATCATCTGGAATATATCATCTCCTTGGGGTGTATATTTTGTTCTTTTTATCCAAGGTTCTCATACTGGTGGGGTGGCCTCTCAGAGACAGCAGGACATGTCCTGAATGGATAGTCCATGTGACTCCTTGGTCAGAAGTGTTAGCTCTCAATCTACCCACATACAAAAAATACCCCCCTGTGACGCATCTCCCCACAGAAAGATTACTGTGACTGTTCAGGTGCTGCTTCAGACCACGCTGTATCATCTTTCTAAAATCAAAACATTTTGAGTTCCCAAAACATCTGGCTGTGAGGTTTTGGGGTAAGAGATTATAGACCTATATTGTTACACCATTTTACAGATGCACGATCCAGGGTGTAAGGACATTGCGAGTGACTGTGTCCAGGTGGTCCTACATCTCTGTTCTGGTGCATGTGTGCGAATGCCAAATCTGCTTCTGCGCACAGCAGCACCATGCGGTGACCATGTCCTTATCTTCCATTGTTATGGGAGCTGCCCTATTGGAAACCAGTTCTTACATGAGTAATATATAGGCTTTTTTTTAAAAAAAAAAAAAAGGAAAATAAAAACCTGCTCTAAGAAGAAAGCAAAAACAACTTATGCTACCATTGCTTAGAGATAATTGTATTTTGGCACATTGTCTCTGAGGTATTTTTCCTCTATTTTAAAGTGATTGCTAATTAAGTGCGCACTGTTCATGTTTTATACAAGGCACGTGAGCTCTCTGAATGCATCCCTGTTCTGCTAGAGGAAATTGCCATACCATCAGAATTTGAACTCAGGCCTTTCATCCAGTCATGCGTATTTTATAAAGGCGTTAAAGTTGAATGTGCCCTGTGCATATTGACCCTGAGAAAGTGCTGATGGAGGTGCCAATGAGCCATGGAAGTTCCTTAGATTTGTAAACTGTAGAGGGCTTTGCACATTCCCCCAAGTTAGATATCTGTACCATTTTAGCCATGGGGGTGATGTTTGCTGAGAACTTCACAGGCACTGTCCTTCTCATTGACCCACCAATTTGCTTCTGGCTGGACCACTAAGACCTCTCCTTGTCCTCTGCTATCTGCTGCCTCTGCTCTAGGTCACATGATCAGGAGGCCTGAAGTAATTTGCAGACATTATTGGATGTAACAGCCCTCAAACAATGAACATTGTGAGTTTGTCTGTAGAGATCCCTTTCTTGAGTTGTTGCATGAAACTCTATAAGATTAAGAACTCGTTTTAATCATCTGTCACTTGGAAAAGTCATGTTAAATGAATGGTTGGTTGAAAATTCAGGATATTATATTGTTGAGTGATTTATTGATTGTTTTTTGTTTTTTAATTAAAATAGAGACCATAAATGCAGCAAACTAGTGTGTACAGCCCTTTGTTTATCCTGGCAGGTGTGGGGATTAGATGACAGTGTTTTCTATTCATTGGTTTGACATTATATTGTGTGCTTTACTGTGCATTTCTAGGTCTGTTTACTGATCGTTTTTAGAAGCTGCATATACTCCTTATGGTTCATGTGACTGCTTACCAATCTTAAGTTGGGTAGGTGGTGGTTCTTTTTGCTCTTGCAAATATTGAAAGTAACGCCTTTGCAGAAATACAAACCTCTTTAAATCTGATCTAGTATACTACTATGATCCTGACTTTGAAAAATTATTATTCTATACTCATTATTTCACTCCCATGCATTAATTTGTAGAAGATTTGAATGGGTTCTAACCTATCAAAAGGGCTTTGTATTTTTAATGAGAACAGAGAGAATCTGCTTTAAACTTAGAGTTCATGTGAAATACCACATTAAGGCTTTAGGATAGTAATCATTACTATGAGAAAATAATAAGCAAATGCTAAGACTTAAAGAAATTCTAGGGTTGGAGAAGATGGGAAGATGTTCAGAGGGTACAAACTTGCAATTATAAGGTAAATTCTAGGGACCTTAAAAAAGTGAATGTGAATAAATTTAATCTTTCAAAAAAAATCATTCTATTGGCTCTCTTATGGGATATAACAAGTATCTGTTCTTTTTATTACAAGATGCTTTTTAATAACTCAGATTTTCAAGGCAGAAATTATATATCTATTATTTAAGCTTTAAAAATAGTCATCTTTGCCCTGGCCGGTTTGGCTTGGTGGATAGAGCATCGGCCTGAGGACGGAAGGGTCCTGCGTTTGATTCTGGACAAGGGCACGTGCCCAGGTTGTGGTCTCGATCCCCAGTGCGGGGTGTGAGAGGCAGCCAGTCAATGATTCTCTCTTATCGATGTTTCTCTTTGCCTCTCCCTTCCTCTCTAAAATCAATAAAAATATTTTAAAAAGATAGTCATCATAAATCCAGGGTCTGACTTTAGCATTTCTGCGTTCAACAAATACTTTTTATTTACTATGAGCCCAGCACTATGCTTGGACCAGCAACACATAGTGAACAGACAGACACAGTCCTGTGAGCTCCATTGAGCGGGCCATGATGGTGGTGACCAGTGCTACAGGAGGGGGCTGTGGGGACCATTGTGAAGGGAGATGGGTTCCCCGAGGAAGGGGGCTCCACCTGCAATCTGAGAGTAAGATGTGGTAAGAAGGAGGGAAGCCTTGGCCAATGTTGCTCAGTGATAAGACCTTCGGCCTGCTCACCCAAGGGTCGAAGGTTTGATTCCCAGTCAAGGGCATGTACCTGGGTTGCAGGTTTGATCCCCAGCCCCAGTCAGGGTGCATGCAGGAGGCAAACAATGGATGTGTCCCTCTCACATTGATTTTTCTCTTTCTCTCTTTCTCCCTCCCCTCCTCCCTTCCTCCCACTCTCTAAAATTCAATGGAAAAAAATCCTTGGATTTTTAACAAACAAACAAAAAAAGAGGAGGGAAGAATATTGTCTGCTTGGATTTTGAAAAGATCACTGTGCATTGTGGGGAGTGTGTGGGAGAGATTGGGGGGATACCAGTTAGGGAGTGCTTCCCCTGACCAGGTGAGACCGGGTCATATTCTGGAAGATGGTGGTGCTACAGGAGATGGGGTGAGTGACCTCCAGAACTCTGCCTGTGGGACCCCTTGGATTGATTACACTAGGGCACGCTCAGACAGGCTGGGATGTTTCATCCTGGACAGACCAACAGAGATATCAGCAGGGCAACTGGATCCCTACTTGGGCTGGGGGTGACCCTGGGGTGGGGGGTGGTCTCATCTGAGAGGCAGTGAGCAGGAGTCTACAAGTGACCAAGGGGAGTAGGTGGAAGTCTGTGCAGGTAGGTCAGTGGTGACAGGCCCTGCGGTAGTGGGGGCTGGGGAGGGCACAGAGCAATGGTCCAGGTTGTGGCTGTTCTTTGGGGTTGGAGTTAAGCTCCCGTGTTATTCTAAAGTTTGAAAACCAAGATTAAGAACTCTGGACTGGGAAGGGCCTAGATCTTAGATGAAAGGTGGGTTCACAAAACTGGCAAGGTGGCATTGCCAACCTGAGTCACCTAACTTCCCTCCTCCCCACCCCCCAAACGTTTAAATAAGAGGAAGTTAGTATTGAATTTTAAGGACGTACGATATTTTATTCTAAATGTACAAAATATTAAAAACCTGAAATGTAGCCATATCCTGCCCGGAATTGGTAATTAGAGAAATATAACGAAACCCAGGTTTGGCCCATAGGTTACATGCTTCATAGTGTCTTTACTCAGTATTCTTTCATGGAATTCCTCAGCCTTATAGGTAAGCTTTGAGATTTCCCATTGTGTGGGTGAGGAATCTAAGGTTTGGAAGATGAGTGGCCCAGACATGGTCTTATGACAGTATCCTTTCTGGTTTGGTGAAAACCATGCCTGCTGGAAGATACCCCTCCTGCCTCTTCCCTCTTGTTAAGATGATTCCCTCTGCAAGTCACATTGTCCTCTGTTTCAGGATGATGATCTGGAAGAGGGCGAAGTAAAGGATCCCAGTGACAGGAAGGTGAGGCCTCGTCCCACCTGCCGATTCTTCATGAAAGGTAATTATCAGATTGAGGGGCCTTCGCATGGCCCATTTATGTGGCCTCGGCTTTTTCTGGGACTGTAGTGGTGGTTCAGCCATGTCGAGTGCCCTGGAGCCTGTGTTTGGCTATTCCTGGGGTCAGATTATGACCGTTTGTGGTGGCAGTGGTGGTGGTGGTATTGATGTGAAACAATAGATTCTTTTATTTGTCCTTTAATCACTTGAATGACTAACTCAGAGGGGAGCCAGTCTAGTCATTTTCACACTTGTGGTTCCAAACCCAGTTGTTTATAACAGACCCATGACTTTAATGTAGACAGTATCAGTCATTTTTCTAAGTGGTTCTTTTTATAAGGCCAAGTGCCCTAAGCACCAGTTTTGACATTTCCCCACCTCTATAAGGAAAATTACCACTCTTCCGCAAGATGAATTAGAAGTATATACTTAATTTGAAATGGATTTCTAAATAGCAAAGGGATGGCCTCTGAAAGCAGCAAGGCTCCCTCTCCTGAAAAGTAAATGATGTGAGTCAAGAAGCAGTAACAGGTGGCAATATGATAAAATCTTGTTGAAAAGTCTGGACTAAAGTCTTGGGAGATTTGGAAAGGAAATGAGACTTTCCATTCTTAAGGTTTCTTTATATGCAGCAGTAGTTTGGGTATGTCTTGTAATTTAGCATTTTCCTTAGATAAGTAGGAAGATGCTTTTCTCTTAATTTTACTCTGACCCTTGACTTTGCTCACTGACCCAGCCTGCGTGTACCGTCTAAAGTTCACAAGAGCTTCCTGTACTTCTTTTCCAGATGTTGTGACACCATTATCCACTCTTCTTCCACCAATATCAAATTCCATACCATTCAGAGACCAGGTTAAAGGTACAAAATATACAATATTCACTCTCTTTAGTCCCTCAAAGTCCCCCTGCTCCAGAGGCCAGACTTCTTTCTCCTGGACCCAAAGTACTACTGTGAAGTGAAAAGGAAGGGGAGGCTTGCAGAGGCAGAGAGCCGTTGTGAGCCTTAATAATTAGAGGCATTGATGAAGCTCGAGGGAGCTGTGCGCTGACCGCACGGGAAGGGCAGGATTGCAGGGGCACAGTGGAGTCCCATCTCACAGTGAGGCAGCTCTGCACTTCAAGCGGCCCTTGAATGACCCCTTCCTTTCCCGAATACTGAGGAATGACCTGATGATGAGTGTGCATGGGAACTGAGGGACCAGCACACTCAGGACCCAGATCACCTTGCACCTCAGGGCTTGTGCACTTGGCCTGTGCTATTTACATGTTTATTGTTTCTGACAAGCCAAAAACAGTTTGACTTGCCTGTATGTGATGGGCTCTACCATGCCCGAGAGGGAACAGCCAGCAGTCATGTACTGTAGAGCAGACATTACATCATGAGCAGCACAGCCACCCTAAGATAAGCATGCAATACATTTTAGAAAGTATATGAAGTGTCAGTATTTCAGAAACTTTAGCAGAATACCTCCTTTCCATAATGATTTGAGAACACATGTCACTATATCTCTGAAATTTCTAGATTAAAGCAGTGGAGCAAATATGTACACATAACATAAATATAGTTGCAGTCATTTCCAATTAGCACTGTTCACAAGCGGGGGTCAGAAGCCTAGCCAACTGGTTAGAACTAGCCAGAGACTCCCACAGCGGGGGCAGCAGTATCCACCATTCATGCCACGGAGGCTCTGGTCCAGTGCTGGAGTCACACACTGGAATAGTTTCCAGAACTTAGCGAGAGAAGCATGCATATAAATGAAGTTGTTGCTGGAACTGCAGATCAGCATCATGAGGAGATTCCCGATGGACAAGGACAGGACACCGTCTCCATGGATGCCCCGGGGTCACCTCAGAATAGGAGCAAGGTTCTTCCAGGGTCAAACTTGAGTGCTTAATTTGCATTTCAGGGAATAAGACCAGTGGGTAAGGCTTTCTGCACTAGAAAAATCTAAAGCTAGTGGCAAGCAGCCTTTTTGCAGCGTAATTGGGCATGATCAGTAACTTGTTTCAGGAATATTTTTTAAAATATATTTACCTTTCCTCCTATATTGTTTGTTTATTCTACGGAGAATTCTAAGTAAATGGTTTGTTTGGTTTTTTTGTTTTGTTTTTAGTGTTCTAGAACATAGCTCCTGATTTTCTTAGTTATAAAAAAGGTTTGGGATGTAAATGATTTTGCTTACCTGCGATTTGCAAGTTTGGTGTTAAATTGAGGTGGATATGTTTACGTTCCTTCCAATAGTAGAAGTCATTTAAAAAACGAAGTTTGTTGTGTTTGGCGAGGATGCATAGAAATGGAACCCTCATACACTGCTGGTGGGAACATAAAATGTCAGCTCCTCAGAAAGTGAAGAATAGAGCTACCATATGACCCAACAATTCTATTCTGGGTATCCATCTAGGAGAAATGAAAACATCCACACAAAAACTTGTATATGAACATAACAGCATTATTCATAATAGCCAAAAAATGGAAACAACCCAAATGTCCATAACTGATGATGGGTAAGTAAAATTTGGTTTACCCATACAATGGAATATTATTCAACTGTAAAAAGGAATAAAGTACTGATACTACAATATGGGTGAACATTGAGGACACTGTGCTAAGTGAAAGAAAGAAACCAGACACAAAAGACTGCATATTGTAAATTTTTACCCATGTAAACTGTCCAGAATAAGAAGCAGAAAGTAGATTAGTCATTGTATAGACCAGGGGGTGGGAACAGTGAGGGGTGATGTATAATGAGTACAGGGTTTCCTTTTGGAGCAATGAGATATTCTGGAATTAGTGCACAACTTTGAATATACTAAAACTCACCGACTATATACTTTGGGTTTTTTTCTTTTTTTTCTGACTATATACTTTGAATGGTGATATTTGTGGTATATGAATTATATCTTAATTTGGGGAGGGAAATTCTTTTAAGTTTGTTAACTGTGTTTCTGTTACAAATTTTGATCTTCAGATTAATCATTTAATTGCCCAAATGGACACTTTCGTATTTATGACCATTGAAAACAAAATGTATTTAGGCAAACAAATTGAAACATTTTAAAACACCAATTACTTTGTTTAGGGTATATTTTTACGTCTCTTATATTTATGTTGAATCATCAATACACTGAGTTCTAGTCACAAAGGCATAAATAGCATTTTCTTTAAACTATGCCCTCCTTTGGATTTCTGATTTCCCCAGCTGTCAGTAGAGCCTAGCCTATTCTGTGAGCCAGACCTCCTTGTCTCAGCTGCTTCCTGTTCTCTTTTTGTTAATTGTGGTAAAATATTCATAATATAAAATTTACCATCTCCACTTTTATTGTTGTTGTTGTTAATCCTCACCAGAGGATATTTTTCCATTGATCTTTTTTTTTTCTTTTGAGGGTCCATTGATCTTTTAGAGAAAGTGGAAGAGAGAGGGAAAGACAGAGAGAAACATCGATGTGAGAGAAAGACATCAATTGGTTGCCTACTGCATGCACCCGGCCCAGGGCCTGGGCCGGGAAGGAGCCTGTAACCAGGGTATATGCCCTTGACCAGAATTGAACATGAGATCCTTTGGTCTGCAGGCTGACGCTTTTTCCACTGAGCGGAACCAGCTAGGGCTCAAGCATTTTTAGGTGTACAGTTTAGTGACATTGAGTACATTCATATTGTGACCATCACCACTATCTGTCTCCAGAACTCTTAATCTTATAAAACTAAAATTCTGTTCCCATTAAACACTAACTCATTCTTCGCTTCCCTCAGTCACTGGTAACCATCATTCTACTTTGGTTTGTATGAGTTTGACTATTCTGGGTGCTGATGTAAGTGGAATTATACAATATTTTTCTTTTTGTGACTATCTTATTTCATTTAGTATAATGTCCTCAAGGTTTATCCATGTTGTTGCATGTGTCACAATTTTCTTTTTAAGGCTGAATGTGTATATAGATTACATTTTGTTTATCCATTCATCTGTCGATGGACACTTGAATTGCTTCCATCTTTCAGCAATTGTGAATAATACTGCTATGAACATAGGGGTACAAATATATTTTTTAAGACTCTGCTCACATCTTTTGAATATATACACAGAGATTGCAGGATCATTTGGTAGTTCTGTTTTTAATTTTTTCAGGACCTGCAATACTGTTTTCTACAGCAGCTGTACCATTTTACATTCCCAATAGTACACAAGGGTTCCAGTTTCTCACATCCTCACCAATATTAGTTATTTTCTGATTTATTTTGTACTAACCATGCTAATGGATGTGAGGATGGTATCTCTTCACCTCGTTGTGGTTTTTATTTGAATTTCCCTATTATTAAGTCTGTATTTATAGTCAGGCATTGACCACCATTCACTCACAGTTAAATAATGCCAATTGTAATTAATGATGTCTGTGATAGAGCAGTGAAAATTATAATTGTTTTACACTTGAGTGTAGGTCTTTTAAAAAAAACAAACACAATTTCAAAAAGGCATAATTTACATACCATAAAATATGCCTGTTTCAAGTGTACAATTCAGTGGTTTTTAAAGTAAATATATCAAGTTGTGCAGCCATCACCACAATCCAGTTTTAGAATATTTCATCATCCCAATAAGAGCCCTTAGTATATGTCTTTATTATATTCAATATGACGAAATTGGAAGTGCATATGGAGCCCTTCTGCTGCGCACTGAAGTGCAAAGGTCATCATCTCCAGTGAGGGCATGTTTGAGGTTTGCAGTGTGAGCAGCCAGCCGC